TCTTCCAAACAGTTTGCATCCCTAAATTCATAGTGTCTAAACTCCTGTTTCCCAGGCAAACCGGATGTCTACTTAGAAAGCAATTCAGCAAGAAACAGCAGTGATATAGAGCATGCATGTAGATACATATCTATGTATACATATATACACAAAGCAGCACTTACACTAAGTGCCACTTTACGTACATGAAGGGAAGAGAGCAGTCAGGCAGGTGGGGCCAAGTCTTCAGCCTTTGGGTGCTGACTGCTTATCTGCTAACTTGGAACAGGGAAACGTCACAAAAGCAAATTTGAGATTAACGGTAAATCCAACACCAAGGAATGCTGCTGTAGAAAGGCACATGGCATGATGGCTTTGTATTCAGAGTAGAATCATTTTTAATACAATTAAAGTAATTACTTCAGTCTAGTCAGCCCTGGTTAAGTCTCCATTGGAGTTAATTAGCAAATAATGGTAAAATACTTTGAACATGCAAACGTTAAATACTTTCATTATTAATATTACTCTTGCAACTGCTGCAAAAGCAGGCAGGTCCAGGGTCCTTGGAATATTGCAATGCTGTAACATGAAAAATAAGGCCAGTGCTTTTGCCTGGCTGGTTTAAACACAAAACATGTCCTTGTTGTACTAACCAAGTACCTGCGTCAAAAATACAGAAAAGCTCAGGCCCTACCTTACCAACCAAAGAAATAACTTCTGTCATCCAACACAAACTAAAGGGCCGTGTCCATCTCTTATCATCCAATACCAGCACATAAAGACTGAATATTTACAGAAAAAGGGAAATAAAATCTGCAAGATGGAAATAAAGAGAAGCAGGAGAAATCTACTTGCTGTACATTGAACTTCTAGAACAGAATTAAAGTCTTGTGCCCCGCCAGCACTGTCATGCAGAGTATTGAATCCCTGCTTGGCAACACAGCTTTAGGCAAATACCCAAAAGAGATAAGAAAGCCATGATTGAAGGCATAGGGTAGAGGGAAGGAAATGAGACACTGAATTAAGAAAGGTTAAAAGGACTGGGTCATGTTTAGTCCCACAAAACAAAGACTTAACTGCATGCAACTATATAAAGGAGGTTATAAAAGAGAGCAACAACTGATTATTCTCCCTAGTCAAAGATGGAACAAAAAATAATGAGATGAAGCCATAAAAAGGAAAATGAAGGACTGAGAACCTTTGTAACTCAGAGAGTGGAACAAGCAGCCCAAAGACTGTAGAATACTCATAATTGATGATATTCAGGCTTAAGTAAGCACCCATCTGTTAAAGGATATTTTGTTATAATCACTCCTGCTTTTATGCAAGAAGGTGGAATGAGAGTCCCGACAAGTCCAGGGATTGGATACATAAAATTAATGTCTTTCACGTTTCAGAAACATTTATTCAGAACAACAAACATCTGGTTCATAATCCTCCAATTAACACTGTTTCCAGCCCTAAGGAATTAATCACAGAATTCACAGAAAACAGTTTATTTGCTAGCAATGGAGTAAAACAAATTGCCTACAAACTTCTACATTGCTAATGGAACAGTTTAATTGCCCCCTTTTTTTGACATTTTAATTCAAAAAATAAAGAATAGAAAGTCATCCCTGGGCAGAGACCTTTGCAGCAGTGTGCCAGCAGAGAATTACACAGCACTATAGACTCAGGCTCGCATTCGTGGTACTGACCTCCTTTGAAGAGCACTCTGAGATCTAATGATGAAAAGTATTGAAAAAAGTGCTAGATACTATCATTAGTATTCAGGAGGACAGAATTCTGTGGCTTGGTTGAATTCAAAGGGACCTGACAGTACTTATGAAAGCCAATACATTTTACAGAAGAAAATAGCTCTGATGGCAACGTTAATGTAAGGCTGGGTGACCTGGCTGGGGGCAGGCCTTGCTTTTTGCCAACGACCCCCAGCAGGCTGTGCTGCAGACTTACTTGGTATCATTGAACCAACCTAATGCCTGCTCACTTTTTTTTTTTACTATTTCCACAATGTATTTTAATCTATTTCTAGCTACAAAAATAAGGTGGTGGCTAAAACACCATCCTGACAATGAAAATCTACATTACTGCTCGCGTTCTCAGAACCTTCTGCGTTCTGGCACTGCTCTTCATACTAAAGAGCTTTCCTAGCTATGGCTGGCCACCAGAAGATGCTTATTCCGTGAGCACCTCCCTGTTACCACGTCTTATACCCTGCAGTTCGGTGGATTTACACCCTGCTGCTTTCAGCTGCTATGGAGAAATTAAATGGAATGGAAAGTCAATCACCAAATGTTCTAGTGCTGTGGTTTTAAAGATGTCCTTGCTTGTAGGAGTGGAACGTGCTGTTCATCAGTTTATTCGCCTGGCTTTGCCGCTAGATGAATTTTAAGTAAACATCTTTTATTCTCACAAAACAGATTTTCAATGAGTAACCAATACAAACAACATGCATTATGATTCTATCCAGCAATACAGACTCTCAATAGCTCTGAACGACTCTGCTAGCTTCAGGCAGTCTAATTGACCACTATAATTTACTTCAAGGTTAGCATGATTTGGACAGCTCTTGAAAACATGTTTTTGTTACTAGAGCCTTCTGTACACATTTGCTGTGGTCGATCTTCTTTTTCTACCTACTGATTTCACCTTTTATTCTGTGTGAATAATCCTAAAACATGAATTAGTAATGTGAGGAACTGAGCCATTCCCCCTTACACACCTTAAAATCTCTTCAGATAATATTTCTTTATCAGCACATTCCAAGCTGATGTCAGCTTTACCTTTGCATCTTTCTGCAATAAAGTTTTCTGTGTTTCTTATTTGATGCCTAACCTTTATTAAATTTACAGGTGCTTATGCTGGTTTTGGCTGGGACAGAGTTAACTGTCTTCACAGTAGCTGGTATGGGGCTATGGTTTGAATTTGTGCTGGAAACAGCATTGATAACACAGGGGTGGTTTCGCTACTGCTGAGCAGGGCTGACACAGAGCCAAGGCCTTTTCTGCTCCTCACTCCACCCCACCAGGGGCTGGGGGGGCACAAGAAGTTGAGAGGGGGCACAGCTGGGACTGCTGACCCGAACAGACCGCAGGGATATCCCACACTGTATGATGTCATACCCAGTATATAAACTGGGGGAAGAAAGAGGAAGACGGGGACGTTTGGATTGATGGCGTTTGTCTTCCCAAGTCACAGTTATGCGTGATGGAGCCCTGCTTTCCTAGGGATGGCTGAGCACCCACCTGCTGGTGGGGAGTGAATGAATTCCTTTGTTTGCTTCGCTTGCATGCATGGCTATTTAACTGTCTTTATCTCAACTCACAAGTTTTCTCACTTTTACTCTTCCAGTTCTCTCCCCCATCCCAACAGGGGGGAGTGAGCAAGTGGCTGTGTGTGGCTCAATTGCTGGCTGGGGTTAAACCACAACACTGCTATAACATCTTTATGTATTTATTAGTGCTCCTAGATATCATGGAATGATGTACTAAGGGGGAAAACACACACCTGTATTTATTTAATTCAAAGATCTGTCATGTCTCTCTAGCTAGGTCTTTACCAGGGACAGGGAATAGGACACAACAGGGTAGAAGCTAAGGAACCATAGAGATAAAATTGCCATCATTAAAAAAGCAACAACATCCAGAATGATGAAATACATTCTTACAGACAAGACCAGAAACCTGCAACTTTCACAATTAACTTCCCTGGGGGTGCCACAGTCATATCAAGTGGTATTAGGCATTACGCACTGATCCTGATCCAAACAATTTCCAATAATAAAATAATAGAAAAACCCACAACTTAACAAACTTTTGCTGATGGAGAAAATGCAGTTAGGCTGGTATCTTGTGCGCTTGTTTTCTACTGAAAACAAGCATACAGGGATGACGACTGGGTTGTCTATCAATGGCTACGGCAGGGAGCTATTGTTGTATCAGCTCTACATGGTATCCTTAACAGGCAGCTAGCAATTACAAGTCTCTTACCCCAGTAATTACAGGCATAAGAATACCTCTTGAACAACATTATATCCCAGTTCTGCCACGTAGTTCATGCTTCTCAAGAGTGCAATGCACTAACCAGAACAAATACTTCTTTCTTAGGACTGAAATCAAAGTCTTAACTGGCTGGTCAGGTCTGTTTTCCACTGTGTCCATTAAAGGGGCTTGCACTGCTATTTTAGGTGGCAAGGAACACAGACAAACTATGATTTTTAGAAAATTTTAGTGTGCTTTCTTCAAAGAAGTTCTTTTTTGACGTGAACAAAGCATTCCACAGCACTTTCATTAAGGCTAGAGAACTTATTCTTATATACATCCATATACAACATAATGGTAACTTCCAATGAGAAACAAAACTATTGGAAATCACCATTACTATGAGTTCTTCAGAGAACATTCCAAGTATCACATGGAAGATTAAGCTACTACTATTGGGTGTTCTCAATATCTGTTAGTAAATTACATATTCTGGTAACTCTGTTGGAAATGTTTTCCTTGCATATGGAAATTTCACTGTCACTGAAGCCTAATCAAGCACTAGCTACTACAGTTAACTCTTTAGGATTTTTCTTGTCTTTCTCAGGGTTAGAATTTAACGCAGTCAGTTAAGAGCTAAATGGTAACCGGAAGGTCCGATATTCCCGGACATTACAAAGCCTTACTTTTCCTCGCCTCTCAAACATGCTTTCTGATCCTGAAACATGAAAAAAACTGGCCAAACCCGAGAATATTATATCCAAAACATCTCTTCTCTGTTAAATACAGGAAGAAAATAGGAATAAGGAATGTAAAATGATTCAGCAAGGATATCAAATGGCAAGTGTTGTAAAAAGCCATCTCATGTTTATGAATTCTGTTGTCAGATTATTTTGAAGACAAAACTCATCTTTTTATCACTGAATGAAATCCTAGCCCACTGTCGTGGCTACCTGGACCTAGTACACACCCATATAGGGCTAACAGCTGATTCTCCCAAAGAATAATATCACCCCACTCTTGCTGAGGCTTCTTACTTACCAGTTGGGACAGCAGGATCCATTGTTGGCTTTTCCCAGGTATTGATCTGCTCCCAGGTAAATCCATTGGTTCCCAAGGCCACACTATAACCACAATTACTGTAGTGCTCATCGAATGAACAACCACCTAAAAACAAGAAAAATGAATACATTCCTCTATTAATTATTTATATCTCTTTATGGTAGGTCATTTACTTAAATATTTTGTACCCAAGTTTATGCAGGAAAAAAAGGAAAAATAAAATTCATTTCCCGCATGTTAGATTTCAGGCAGTGGAGAAGGTATCCCAAAAATATTTTTATATTTTCCACACTTTGTATTCATTGGAAGCTTTTGTTTTCTTCCCTCCATGCTACTGTTTCTTAGATGAGTTCCCTTTATTTCAACCTATTGTCTTTACCTTTTCAAGGACAATTGCACACAATGCAAACGTGCAGGAATATTTGCATTTGAGTCCCAGTAACTGATACTTAAGTACTAAACCTCCAAGTCAGATATTAAAAAAAAGTGGAAGAAGGAACACAAATGGCAAACAAGCACAGCATCAGTGTTCCTACAGTGAATCCTCACTTCTTTTTGCTTTTAAGCCTTGAATTACACAAGGTTGGGTTACACCTAAAGAAAGTGCAACCTTCCTTTTAACCATCTTCCTGCATAACAACATGAAGCTCTGTGTGGCACATGATCATTTCTCAAGGTCTTTTGAGTCAATACTTTTGAGTGCAACCCTCTAATTGCTCAACAAGAGAATAACAAGAAGTGGATGGCAACTAGCATTCACACTTCCCAGATTGTTGACTAAGTGATCTTTCCTACTGCAATTCCTGAAATACTTGGAAGAAGTTAACTGTCATAAATAACCTGGCAGCTGCCTGAACATTTGTGAATCAAGGGAAACCCATGAACACTGGAATGAAATTTTGTATTCCAACACAGATCTTTGAAACTTGTGTGACACATACAAACCAAGCTAGTTTATTCCCTGGTAGGATATTCCTTCACTGGTGTCCCTTACATTACTTCAGGCATATTCCTCTTCGCGTCCGCCCAACTTAGTCTGCCAAACATATTTCAGTACTGGATCCATTAGATCAGGCAGCCTGGGGCCTTGAGTTTAGACCTTAATCATGTCAACAGTGTCTCTGTACTGCTTTGGTTTTCTCTCCTAGGGAAGCGAGGATAATTTTTCTCTCAGATACTAGTCCTTCAAAGTCAACTGGACACATCTAACACGTCAGAGCTGCAAGGACTGAGCAACGCTCAGGGCAACACTAACTTGTTCTGCCAGCCAAACTGCCAATTGCTCTTAACACTAATTGGAGAGTTATATGCACAGAGGTGCTCCTGACTCTTTACTCCTTCCCACTGGCTGCACTGCCTGCACATACAGAGTAAATAGCTGGTACGTTAGTGGTCTGTGGTTCCTTTGAGATAAGGATTATCCAACACTGAGGACATTGAGGCCTTCTTTAGTTTTCACCTAGATTTTCTATTCTCTAGCTCTCAAGAAAGCCCAAATTTGTCTCAGCTCATATGAAACTCTTCATAAATGACAAACACAAATACATATCATGTCATTAGTATTTATTAAATCCTCATTCTGTTAAAGGACTTCATGTGCATTTCAACTGCAACTGGTTTTCTAAGTTGTTCTACAAAACCTCATATATTATTTCTATTTAACTATATATTAGAAGGGTTTGTTGGGTAGAGTATCTAATACCCCCAAATACTCCATTGCCTAAATAAAAGTTTAAAGATGAAGCCTGTCCTAAAAAAATAACAATTTTATATATTGCATATTTTCTTTATAAATAGATCTGACTATAGCAGATTTTATGACCCTTGCAAACTTGCCTGTTTCAGTAGAGAATCTGTAAATATTTCTGAAGTGTCATTATTTTACAGTATTTTAATAATTCTTGCTTTAAATTTACTGTACTTGTAAAGCTTTCCCAGCTGTCAAAATGAGCAGGATTACACTTAAACTGTTCCCTAATTTTTTAATTTAATTTAGGTGAAAAAGTTCAAATTTAAAATATTAAACATGCTCATTAAAACATCTAAGAGAAAATAAACGTATTCTGGATTGCGTGGGAGTATGCAGTGCAACTGAAAGTTACCTGTTTCACAGCGAGCGTGCATGAGAGATTATATCAAATACTCTGCTCTCAGTCTCCAAGCGGGGCATTCTAATTTTGATAGATTCACTTTAATAGCACAACTTCAGACATACACCATTTCCACACCACCGCTGCTCAGCATACTGCAGCACACAATAACGGTGCTGTCTCTGAGCTATTACTTTGACGGGATTGTAAACAAATTCTCTGATCGAGCCAGACAATTGTAGGAGGCCTCATGTACACAGAGAAAATTGCACAGGTGCTGCTACAAAGTCCCAGAAGCAAAACAAGCGATAGTAACAAAACATGGGGTAGCAGTCCTCATTTAACAGCGAATGTAATTATCGTTCTCTTGGTATAATCAGCTGAACAGGTTATTTTATACATGCTGAGGTACCCAACGTTGGAGGAGGAGCTGAAAAGGGGTAAGGTGAGAACTTCTGGAAATTAATTGGGAGTTTCCACTGATAAGAGACAACACCTGAGGAAGCTTTAAAGTGCCTCGTCTGAAAGTCAAAGCTAACCTTGTAGTACAACTGAATAAGAAAGGAAAGGATAAACCATGGAGAGGCTTAAAAGTAGCAGCAAGACATCTACATTTTAAAGAAAGAAAAGGTTAGTGGAGAAACCTCCAGATGCAGAGCGACAGCACAATAAGCCAGAAGGATTAATTTACTAGAAGCAACACAACTGGAATTTGGAGAGGAGAATTTGCAGGAAATGAGGACAAGGAGAAAAAACTGGAGTCAATTTTAAGGACTCAGACAAGCAGGCTGGCTGCATGAATCTCTGGTACCAAGAGCAGGGAAGTCTCCATCCACTTCTTGCTATAGTGTGTCAAAAGAGCAGAGTTAAAAGTGAAGTTAAGACTCAGCTGGGATGCAGAACCATATTATCTTGTGAGCTCAAAAGTCAGTAACTCCTCTGTTCACACTATTACAGCATACACTGTGTCATGGAACAGAAAAGGAACTCAGAAAGCAGAAGGGAAGGATCACAACACCCAGAGTATCACAGGCTTTGGGGTTACTCTAATAGTCTCAGTGGCTTGTGTTCCTATCTGCCAAACAAGTATAACACAGGTGGTCTTAGTCCTGTCTTTTTTGCAGAATGTGGCAGACATGACATCACAGCTTCAGTTACAGGCAGACACGTTCAGAAAAGCAGCTATGAAATTTCCACCCAGCTTCACCTCAGGAATTCAAGACCCACCATGCTCTCTCCTCCTTCACTGACCTTGGTGTCTGTAGGATGGCTTCTCACATAGTTCCTCTCCCCCCTTTCCAGTGTTTTGCCCTTCCTTAAACACGCCTTCCCAGAGATGCCACCAGCTTGCCGAGGGGCTCAGCTGCCTCCCGCAGGGGCCTCGGAGGGAGCGGCCGGGCGCAGGCCTGCCCGGCACAGGGCAGTCTGGTCCTGTCCTCGCAGAGGACCCCCCTCCAGACTGCTGCTGGCACTCGGTCACGGAGCACAAACACGAGCATCTGCTTCAAACCCGCAAACCCAGCCTCAGGGTCCGGTCGGGCTGTATTTTCCCTCCTTTCCCCTGGAAGAGGAGCCAGGCATTCTGGGGGATGCTCTGCAGTGCCATCACCACATTGCCCCTCTCAGAACCACCTCAACGACAGCTTTGCTACCACACTGGACAAACCGAGTGGGCTCCATCCATCTTTCAGGTCCCCGGCCTTGCTGAGGGCAGCGTGCCAGACCAGGGAGCCCCAGGAACTCGCCACAGTACGGGGTCCTCAGGTGGGTCC